AGAGAAAGAGAGAGAGAAGACAGAAAAGGTGACCGAGACAGGAAAGCCAACCCAAACTCCCCACGCAAAAAACATACAAAAAAAAAAAAAACTAGAATAAAAAAAAACGAGAATAAATGAAAGCCAAAAAAAGCAAAGCCAGTTCAAGGCAAAGGGAAAGGTCAGGCTTGTCATACAACGCACCTTCCTCCAGCCTCACTTTTGACGAAAGGCATTACGCGGGCATTTTACAGCTCATCTGCCAAGGGGAATTTCTAATTTCCCGCACAATGGACCTGGAACAGTGTTGCCAGACGCTGCTGTTCCCTCGCGACCCTTCGTGAGAGCCTTTGCCATGTATTTCTTGAATTAATATCATTAACACTGTTTTATTTTGTCTTAATGAGAAGCTGTGTTTGTTTGTTTTTTTATTCGTTTACTTTATAATGATCAGTTTAGGGTTTTAAGAATGTTTGTTGTAGTTTGATTTATTTCTCACCATTGCAATGCCATTTTTTCCTTCTTTATTCAAAACAACTTTCCGCAAACAGAAGAAGAAGAAATCAAAATAAAGAATAGGGATTTATGTGAATGATAAACTACTTGAAAGTCTAATGGAAGTGTATGATAAAGATTCATTATGAATCATCTAAACCTGATTACCTTTTTGGGAACTTGATTTCCTAGATCCTGATCACTTTAATATCATCCGTCAGTGATAAAGATAAAAAAAGACACACGTATTCACTTTTCCCTGGCCCTCCCCCCTCATCTCTCCTCCCCCACCACCCCCACCCCTCAATCCCCACCTTCTTCCCTCCCTCAACCTACCCTATCCCCGTCCACCCCACCCCCCTCAAAAAACACTTCAGCCGGAAAATCCCCTTTATAAAAAAAGAAAAATCGCCGAGGAAATCCTTCCTTAAGCTGGATTACAGGACTGACTGCGGGCGAGTCAGAACAAACTTATTGTCATGTATTTTGAGAAAGAAAAGGAGGAGGGGAAAAGGGCACGAAGGAGAGGGGAGGAAAGGGCAGGGGATAGGAGGAGAGAGGAGGGAAGGAGGGGTGGGGAGGGAAGGAGGGGTGGGGAGGGAAGGAGGGGTGGGATAAGAGGGCAGAGGAAAGGAGGGAGGGAGAGAGGGGAGGGAGGGAAGGGAGGGGAGGAGGGCATCTTCTTAACTTTCTTGTGGTCTTATGGCCGGTGCATGAAACTTGATTATTGCTTTATGAGACTTTCCCATCGATAAAACGAAGACGCTTATTGGGTTGATTGATTTAGCGACGACTCCCTTCTTGGCTTCGGCGGGAGAGGAAGCGAAGGGAAATGAAGGCAAGGAAGGAGAGGGAGAGAAAAATGGAAATCACGAATGATATAGGTAATAGACGTAGATAGGAATATAAGAGAAGAAAAAAAAGAGAGAAAGACTGAACGATGGGTACGCAAAGGATGAAAAGAATAGACAAGTGAGAATGACGTAGAGAGGCAAGTGTACAGGGATAATACAGGAATAATCATTTATGGAGCAAGAGGCAGGTGACCAAGGTAATAGTAAAGAAGGAACAGAGAGAGATGTTATAGAAAGATAAATAAATAGATAGCTTAATAGATAGAGGTACGGGGAAAGCCAGATAGATGTATAGACAGACAGAGAGAAAGAGAGAGCAAAAGACATAAATAACCAGAAATTCACCCAGAAGCAAAGAGGGAAACACAAGTCTTCCAATTAAAAGCTGCGTGCGTTGCTCTGCCTAGTTAATCTCGTCCGTTAGCAGTCGGGCAACAGAAAGTCTAACGAAGAGAGAAGTGGAGAGCCGTTGTCCCTTAGCCATGGGGGATCTGGAGGTCCTTTGACACTTGTGTAAAGTTAATGCGTAATTAAGGGGAGTTGTAATGCCTGGAGAATAGCCCCGAGAATCCTAGCATCGGCCGCCAGGGTTAACAAAGCCGTTAAAGTTACTTAGTTCTTTGATCTAATTAATTATCTCTCGAGAATGCATTAGATGTTTTCATTTTACGCTGGCTCCCACAAAAGCCTTAAAATATGTCGGGTTTTTCATTCTCCGCCGGCACTAAAAATTCGCACGGTGAGCATCTTCAGGCGGGTAATGGCATAATTCGTATTCGCGGCGCGTCGCGGCGGCCCGCTGTAATAAGTTAGTTGTTGTAGCCTCTTACTCGGGCCGGCCAGAGTTGGCATTATTGTCTCCGAGGCAGTGAGTGTAAGAGGTCGACATGATTCATTTGAGCACCACTGAATTCAAGAATGGAGGCCGCCAGTTAATGGGCTCTGTAGTCCGCGAAGGGGCGGGGCGTCGGCCACGGTGGGCGGAGCCACAGTAGCGCGGTAGCCTCTCGCCGGCGGCCTGCGGTGAGGATTTCCTGTGGGCGGGGCTTCCAGGCCCGACATTTAGAGAGGCGAGTGTGACGTCTATGTATCAGTTTCACAGTGACAGGTGGAGAGGACGGAACATCATGATTCACGCTACCGGCATCCCGTTCTTCAACCCCTTGCTTAGTATGGGTGGAATGCCCTTCCCGTGGGCGCTCCCGACCAGCGGGTCCCCTCCAAGCTCGCCGCCGTCGTCGCCCGTCTCCAGCACCAGCGTGTGGCACCGGCCTCAGCCAGCTCGGGCAGCGTCCTTCACCATCGACGCCATCCTCGGCCGCCGCCAGCAGGAGGTCGAGAACGCCGGAAGGTCGCTGTCCCTGCGGCGGGAGGAGCGCCACCCGCGCCCGTCTCCCTACCCCGCCGTCAGCAGCGAGCAGGGCGGCGCCAACAGTGCCAGCGCCGCCAGCACCGCCGGGTCCTCGGCCAAGGCGAAGGTGAAGCGCGTGAGGACGATCTTCACGGCCGAGCAGCTGGAGCGGCTGGAGGCGGAGTTCGCCCGCCAGCAGTACATGGTGGGGCCCGAGAGGCTGTACCTCGCAGCGGCGCTCAACCTGACCGAGGCGCAGGTGAAGGTGTGGTTCCAGAACCGTCGCATCAAGTGGCGCAAGCAGTACATGGAGCAGCAGCACGCCAAGCTGGCCGGGAACCAGGACGCCGCGCGGCACTCCGACGACGGCGCTGAAGCCGCCTCGTCCTTGGACGGACGCACGTCCCCTCTCGTGGAGATCCCCGCGTCCCCCGCGACGCCCAACAGCAGCGGCGAACTTCAGGACGACCAGCAGGAGCCTCAGCAGGAGCACCAGCCCAGCGCCCGCCCGCCCCACAGCGCGCCCGCCTACCCTTCCTACCTGGCGGCAACGTTGACGGCGGCGGCGTACGCGGAGCAGCAGCAAAGCGAGCCGGCGGACCTGACCACGGGCGCCGCCAGAGCCAAGTGAAATGCCCCCCCCCGGCAGGGGTTCAGCCCTCGACACTCGTTTGGACTCCGTGACACAGTGAAACGTGTGGAGCTCGCAGTGACTCATTGACACACAGTGATCCCGCCTGTCTGCGCCCGACATGAGAACCCTCGTGGCCGCCGTGGAGACGACCTCGCCCGAGGAAGCACCCAGGTCGTCTTCCTCCTTCACCCCCCCAGTGCTGACGACTCGACGACCAACGCCGATCATCAGTGGACAAAAAGACCTTAACTCAACCCCGGGAACTTCGAGTGCAAGTGCAAGTTCGCGAAATCCAGGGACCCGAAGGGAGACGCTCGGCCTCGCATACTCTTCACCGCTCGTGTCTGAACCGCAGGCCGACGACTCCGCTGTCCCTTCGTCGGATCTGCTTCGGCTGCCAATCGCGGCACAGGAGCCAGAGGATGTTACCCAGTGCTGTACCGTTCCGTAGAGTCGTTGGGAAAACCGCGGTCCATGTACTTTGATGCCGAGATACAACTCCTCTGTCTATAGTGTTGTTGCAGAGTTCCTATGAGAATCTCTTGTGTGTGTGTGTGAATGTGTGTAAGATTGTATATATATGTATTTATGTCCCTTTTTGTTATATCATATTGTCTAACATATTTGACTTTAAATGTACCCCGAATTTCACTATAGTTGATACTCTAGTCTTTATAATAAATATTGTTAATATTATGATGTCTTTCCATCTAACCCTTAGATAGTCTATGGTTATTTTATATATGATAAAACCTTGAACAAAGAAATGAGAAGATAGAGTCAGATGATAAATATATCTTTTCGACCAGAACGACTGCCAAAAGTATCTTTATTATTGATTACTGGTCATTGCAAGGGTCGGTGCAAACCCTGGAAGAGCTCAAGGCATTATTATAAATATCCAACAACAACGAAAAGTAGAACACATACATATCTAAACTCATATGCACTGTATAAACACAAAGATACATATACATACATACATCCTTACACCCATACCTGCATACATCCTTACACCCATACCTACATACATACATACATGCATACATACATACATACATACATACATACATACATACATACATACATACATACATACATACATACATACATACATACATACATACATACATGCACGCACACATACATACATTACAAACATACATACATAGATTCCCACACATCTATACGAGGAAAAACACACAGATGTTGACATACATTTCAGCTCTATATATATAAATACATTTACAAGTTTTAGCGCTCTGAAATACTGGCCACACACGACAATACAACGACATTCTTGTGGGCAAAAGGAATGGTTAAAAGGGACCGGTTGGCAGGCTGTGGTCACTTGGGTGTCTGCCCTTGTCTGTGGGCACGTGTGGGTAAACTAACAGCCCGCGCCCCCACTTAGCGCCATCGCCCGGGGCTCTTTGTCGCATCGGCCACAAACTCGGGCTGGGGGACGGCTGAACACGGGAACGCCGAGGACTTTAAATCTTTTGTGGGAATTTAGTCGTTTGCCGTGATTGTTTAGCCGTTAATATTGTAATATTTGGATCGGTGATATGAGTGATATTCAGAGTTATGTTTTTTTTCTTTTCTTTTCTTGACGTAATGCCTCAGATGCGAATGGGACAAAATAATCACTGATTTTTTTTAGGTAGTAAGATTCGGTTCAGAAAACGTGAGGTATCTACATATTTATACATTTATATATACATACATATGTAGACACACACACACAAACACACACACACACACACGCACACACACACACACACACACACACACACACACACACACACACACACACACACACACACACACACACACACGCACACACACACACACACACACACACACACACACACACACACACACACACACACACACACATATATATATATATATACATATATATGTATATATATGCACACACACACACACATATATATATATATATATATATATATATATAT